TCGTTAAAAATTATTCGTGTAATTGAGGTTACTGATAATTTGAAAACAATGCTACTCTTTGCTTTTATTGTTCATATCAGGCGATGAGCATAATTATTACCATGTTTCTGCACGAGGCAGCTGCACAGAGCTCAGGAAGGGGCTCCTTCGTGGTGACCTATCGGGGAAGGGGCGTTTACGCAGGCCTGCATTAGATAGGGAGTATGCTTTGTGCTATCAGCAAGGCTGGTCATTAGTTTGTATAGGGGCACATCTGGATGTCCTTGCAGCTCTATACAAAGCAGGATTAAAGAAAGTGCATACATACTTGAGGGAGGGGATCTGAGGGGCTCTGACCCGCAGAGCCTCTCCGGCTCGCCGCGGATGAGGAAAGAAACGGTACCAGACACAATTTGTCTGTCAGGAGAAAGGGTTGGCGATTCCCTCTAATGGAGAATTGCCATGAGCCCTTCCCTAGAAGTAGCTTTTATTCAGAATGATATGTGCAGGCGTATACAGCGTGCATGCAAAGCTTATCAATCTACATCAAAAGGCTATAGATAATAAATTGAAGAAGTACAGAGGTTTGTCTTAAATCAAGGTCTGTCAGACAACTTGGCACCAGATGCTCATTAAGGTAGTTTTCAGGGCTCAGAAATTATCTCCTTGCAGTGAAGTAAAACACCTGGATTTTCCCTTATCAGAGCAGTGCGAAGAGGAGCAAGGTTCACAATCTACGCGGCAATTTTTATGACCAGATTTCCCAGGGGACCCACCTTCCACAAAGTGGTCCCCTACACATAGTGGGGTATCGATGTGCACAAATGCCCAAGAAGTTATGGAGAAGTGGGCTGATGCAAGAAATATTGACTTCAACTGCATTTCAAGTTAAAGAAAAAACAAATCAGAACCTTTCTGACTCAAAAAATATTAACATTTTTTCAAATACAGTGGACGGTTCAGAGTAAAAATCCAAGTGACACAAGGTTTTATTACACAATTTGGTTTAAAATGTACTTAAGTACTTAGGGAAAAAAACAAAACCAAACCACCCTCGTAAACAAAACATAATGGTGATTATCAGAGGCAAAGCGGGCAGTGGGCAGATAGAAGAGGGTAAAGTGAAGATAAATGTTGATGGAAGGACACTTGACTTTAGAGGGTGAACACACAATATGCAGATGATGTAATAGAGGTATACACCTGAAACCTATACAATTTTATTAACTAATGTCACAGTAAGTTCAATGAATATTTTAGAAAACAGTGAAATGTACTATGAACCCAATCTTTTTTAACAGTAAATATTTCTTATTCACTGCACAGCGACCTAAGAAAAACCCTGGCAGTTATTTAAGCACTCTCCCTCAATAGGGTTTTATATTTTTGAATTGTTTATTTTTAGAGTCATAGGGGAAGGGACAGAGTGAGGGAGAGGGAGAGAAACATCAACCTGTTGCCTCTTGTGCAACCCCAACCAGGGACCTGGCCTGCAATGCAATCCAGACATGTGCCCTGATTGGGAATAGAAGCCTTGACCTTTCAGTTCAAGGGCTGGTGCTCAACCCACTCAGTCACACCAGCCAGGACAGATTCAGTACGTATTTTAAATAAAAATGGTTATAATTTAGCCAAGACGTAGATGCTATCAATATATGGGAGAAATGTAAGAAGCAAGCACATAGGTTTCTTAGATAAAATTATAGGGTTAAATTTTTACGACCTTGGATTTTGCCAGGAGATTTTTAGATACACCACCAATGCAAAAACCAGAAAGGTGAAATAAGATATATCAGTCTTCATCAAAATTAGTGGTCTGTGCGATGAAGGGTACTATCACACCGGAAAAATAGTCTGTCTAAAGGGGAGAAAATAGTCACAGACCTTGTAAGGGTCTACCATCTGTAATACTTGACTAATGCAGACAATGCAAACCAAAAACAAGGAATCCAAATCAAATACGTTCACCTGTCCTTTTATGTTCAATAGTCTCTCTCTTCTGCACTGAGGTGCTCCTATGTTGGGTGTATTAATGTTTACAAGGGTTATATCCTCTTCTCAGATTGATCCACTTGTGATTATGAAATATCCTTTCTTTTTATAGCATCTGATTTTTTCCTTTTGACAGAAGTATGGCTATGATAGCCTTTTAAAACTTTCTATTTGAATGAAATACTTTTCACAATGGCATAAACTTTTTATTGGAGTTCCCCATTTTAAAAAGGGAAAGTAATCAATCATCAATGAAGTGGTTCACATTTTTAAAAAAGGAACACTTACATGAGTTACCTGTCAGACCTGGTCTGACCTGTCCAAGGACCTGCCCTAACCAGTTTCTGGGTATTTAAAAACGGTCTACACGTCAACTCAACTTTACCTCTACCACATAGGTCAGCTATTAACACGGTTATTCTCATACCTGTTATATGTACGGTTCACTATTAGATGTCTCACTAGATCAGAATTCTTTGCAAGGCCACTTCTGCAGACCAAAGGTAGGGGTAACTTATCTTTTTAATTTCACTTTGTCTTTCCATCTAAAGTGGGTCTCTTGCAGACAGCATAGGCATGGCTCTTGTTCTGCTCTGTTCACTACCCCATTTTTAAAAGATTTTATGTATTCACTTTGAGAGAGAGAAAACATTGATGTTTTCTAACATGTGCCCCATGTGGTGACTGAACCCGCCACCCACTTATGTGCCCTGACCAGGAATTGAACCACAGACTTCTTGCTTTGCAAGGCAATGCTGTGAAAACTGACAGCCACATGGTCAAGGCTGTCTTCTCTTTTTCACCATTTACTACATTTATATTTCAGTGATTATTGGTAAGTATATAGTTATTGCAATCTTTAAATTGAGCAATACAGTCACAGTTGGGGACTTTTAACTTTCCATTGACATACATAGATCTAATGTAGAAATCAACAAAAAGAACGACAAAAAACCCAGTAGTCTTAAATGACACATTAAAGGAGAGGGAGTTAGCACATTTAGAGAATTTTACCTCAACACAAAAGAATATATATTATGGGCACAATGAATGGAGAATCGGAGAATCAACTCTAAACCTACGGACAATATGTCCTTTTTGAAAAATGACCACAATAAACCTAAAAAATCAGTGTAGGTACAGCTGAATTAACACACCCCTCCAATCTCCCTCACCGGTGTACCTGAAAATGGAAGAACTCTCATCTAGCTGAAGTGCATTCCTATGGAGGTTCTGTGCACTGGACTTCTGTCTTGTAGGAAAACTAAAACCAAAAAGCCACCGGTCCAGGTAATGAGTCCTGATACAAAACATCAGTACACGCATATAAATAACGCTGCATACAGTGTGCCTGTAACTATGTCAGGAATTAGAACAGTATTCACATCAACATCTAGTTTCTATAATCTTCATGCTGATTTTGGGGGCAGGGCCATGCCTAGGTACTATTATTTAGCAGCTTGTATGGATCCAGCACAGGACGCTGAAAAACCCAATGGACTATGGGGCTTCCACTTTCAACTTTCCCCACCTGAAATTCCAGGCAACGGTACTGATGGCTTGAAATACACTCAAGGTACAACTGGGCCAATGGATATACCACTAGCCATGCGAAAAAATAAAATGGAAAAATTTGTATCCAAAATAATTAAGAAAATGTTTCAACCCAAAGTCCGCCATGGTCTATGGGATTTCTCCAGAACGACCAAGAGTTGGCTACATTTATGACCGACAAAAGAACATGTCAAACATGTCCTGTTTTTATTTCAGTGAAGAAGGTAATGATGTAACACTGAGACGTTCTCAAGGACTCTAATGAAAAGCAGGACCAGAGAGATCATTCTAATTTTATTTCTCTTTAAAATCAACTTCCTTTTTATTCATTCCGAAAGAGACAGGGGAACGGAGGGAGAGAGAGAGAGAAACATAGATGTGTGAGAGAAACGGGGATCGGCTGCCTCTCACATGCCCGGATGCCAGCCAGGCCCGTGTTCTGACCAGAAACTCAATGGGAGACCTTTTGGTTTGTGGGACCATGCCCAACCTGCTGAGCCATGACGGTCAAGACAGGTCCTTCTGATTTCCAAATACAGAAATGCCATTAGTTATTTTCCAAAAACCCATATTCACATTCAAAATCACAGGGCTCACCATGAGTTCTAGTCTTCATTTTTTTCAGAAGATGTAATAAAAATATTCACCAAACTCTAATGTCATTATAGTAGAAAATTTCCAAACCACTGACTGAACCTACAGGGGCTTGTTTGGCTAATGTGGGAGGGAGAAAGCAGTAAGATGCTGTGGCCATAGCACTTGAAAGGGGAAGAGCTGTGACGTCTCTGCAGCCGAGTTCAAGAGTTCACAGACTGAAAAGGAGCCAACGATCAACCCCATGATTTCACAAATACACCAGGAATAAGAGCACAGCAGCATCAACTGAGAGGAGATTGGAATCCTATCGATGTTTCCTTCTCAAAATATTTCCAATACTGTCAACATACAATAATATGCATTCTCAGTAAGTACACACATCCACACATCCATCCCCATGACAATGGAAAGTAATGATCTATGTTTTAAATTTCGGAGGATTCCCTAAAGTAAGTATTCAGATTTATTCAGTAATACCTGAAAACTACTTTTAACATTCTACTGTGAATCCTCTGATACTCTGAAAATCTATTTCAATTAAGTATGTTCCAAATACTTTACCAAATCCGTTACATTTTTAGGACTTCTCTTCCAGATAAATTCTTTGACGTTGAATGAGGCTTGAACAATGGTTAATGTTTTGTTAAATTCTTCACTTTTTTGTTTCCCTCCAGCATGAATTCTTCAATGTTGAGTAAGTTTTGAGCACAGTTTAAAAGCGTTGTCACATTCTCTACACTTCAGTGGTTTTCCTTTACAGAGTTCTCCCAGGTTGGCAAAGACGCAATTGATGATTAAAAGATTTGGCACTTACTTGACATTGATAGGGTGCCTCTCCAGTATGAGCGACCAGATGCAGGCATAAGTTTGGAGGAGTGAATAAAGGCTTTGCCACATGGTCCATATTTACACGACTTCTCTCAAGTGAAATTAGTCTGATTATAAGTGAGGGCTGACGACCACCTAAAGGCTTTGCCATATTCCCTACATTTACATGGCTTTTCACCATTATGCATTGTCTCATTTTGAGTAAGGACCGAGGAATACCGAAAGGCTCTGCAACATCCTCTACACTAACGAGGCTTCTGTCCAGTACGAATTTCCCTATGCTGAGTAAGCGATGAGGACCAGCAATAGGCTTTACACATTCTCTACATTTATAAGACTTTTCTCCAGTATGCACTTTCTGATGTTGAGTAAGGGTTCAGGACTGGCAAAAGGCTTTACCACATTCTGTACATTTGTATGTCTTCTCTCCATTAAGAACTGTCTGATGTTGTGGAAGCACTGAGGACTGGTGCAACGCTTTACCACATTCTCGACATTTGTGAGGCATCTCTCCAGCATGAGTTTTCAGATGTTTTCTAAGGGATGAGGGCCAGCAAAAGACTTTTCCACATTCTCGACATTTGTAAGGCTTCTCTCCAGCATGAATTTTCTGATGTTTTCTAAAGGATGAGGACTGGCAAAAGGTGTTGCCACATTCTCTACATTGATAAGGCATCTCTCCAGTATGCATTTTCTTATGTCGAGTAAGGGATGAAGACAGGAAAAAGGCTTTACCACATTCTCTGCATTTATAAGGCTTCTCTCCGCTATGAATTTTCTTATGTTCAGTAAGCACGGAGGACCGACAAAAGCCTTTACCACATTCTCTACATTTATAAGGCTTCTCTACACTATGAATTGTCTCGTGTTGACTAAGCACTGAGGACCGACGGAAGGCTTTACCACATTCTCTACATTTAAAAGGCTTCTCTTCACTATGAATTTTCTGATGTCGTCCAAGTGCTGAGTTCTGGCGAAATGCTTTCCCACATTCCCTACATTTGTACGGGGTCTCCCCAGTATGAATTGTCTGATGCTGCGTATAGTGTGAGGACTGGCTAAAAGCTTTACCACATTCTCTACATTTATAAGGCTTTTCTCCAGTGTGAATTCTCTGATGCCGAGTATAAGTTGACAAATGCCTAAATGCTTTGCCACATTCTCTACACATATACGGCTTTTCTCCAGTGTGAATTCTCTGATGCTGAGTATGAGTTGACAACTTCATAAACGCTTTTCCACATTCTCTACATTTATATGGCTTCTCTCCAGTGTGAATTCTCTCATGCTGAGTATGGGCTGACGAATTCCTAAACGCTTTGCCACATTCTCTACATTTATAAGGCTTCTCTCCTGTATGAATTCTCTGGTGAATGCTAAGGCTTGAGAACCACCTAAAGGATTTGCTACAGTCTCTACATATATAAGGTTTCTCTCCAACATATACTTTCTGATGTAGAGTCAGACCTGAAGGCCAACTATGTATTTTATCACACTCTTTCCTCTTACGGTTTCCTTCCGTACCCATTTTCTTAACTCCATTTCTATTCAATATTTTACTGAGGACTTCCCCGGGTCGTAAACACTGGTAACCTTCCCCACTGATAGGAATGTTCTTTTGTGCAGCACTCTTAGAAGATTCCGGAAGTAATTTCACACATTTACTTTGTCTGTCTGTCTTCTCCACAATAGGAATAATCTGATGTGTACTGGGATTGGACATTTGGTCTGAAACTTTTCCGCCTTTATAGTGGGTCTCTGGAAGACGAGTATTCTGGTATTTGTTATGATTTGACTTGTCGTTGAACATTTTCCAATTTTCATTGCATTCATAACTTCTGGCTTCATGGCATGCACTCTGGTAATGGTTGAAAACAGAAAGTTCTTAGTGACACCTATAATTTCATGAAACATGTACTCTTACTCCTACATACTGAATCTGAGATACCTATTAAAATATGGTGGTTAAATAAAAAAATCGCTGCCAAGTTAATGACAATTATGTATAGTAGAAAAAAAGAATACGTTCCTTCGCAATGAAGTATAACAAGTCCTTAAAAGGGGATTGCCAATTTGGTCACATTTAAATTTTACATGTCCATTAGAATTCACTAAACGTTACAACTGATCGACTGAGAGTTTAATCCCACTCTTCGTTCTAGGCAACTCAAACGATTATTCACACCGTAAATTCTCAGAGTTCCGAGATTTTCCAGGCTGCCTTTAGATAAAATATACACTTAGAAACTGTCTGTGGGCTTCCCAGTTGGAAACACTTCCATCTGCATATGTAACTGACTTAAAATGGGAAATTCCCCAAATGCATCGTGCACTAGTTTTCACCTCTATACGTAACAAGACTTTATTCTGAATAATTATCCCATGCAAGTTCTGTTCATTTTAACATCTTTTTTTCTATTCACACGCTTTCCTATCAGTCTTTCATTGAATTATCAAAGGTACATCTTTCATATCTTACCAGTATCATTTTAGAGAACAAATCTTCTATTCTTGCCTTTGGCAACGAGGCCTGGTTATCTTCAGATGACACAGCTGAAAGATACAAAATGAAGGCTCACAGGTATGACACTCAGGTCAATATACGCTGCAGTTAAGCAATTACTGAATACATTATTACTCTTCAAAAAACAGTTTATTTAGGAGATCAAGATGGCAGAGGAGCGAGTGGAAGTCACACTGACCTCCTTCCGGGACCAACCTGGAATGACAACGGAATTGTGGAGAAATCACCTGGGACGAACAACTGAACGATAGGTCAGACAGGGTCAACATCTGACATCCTGACAGGCAGATCCAGAAAGCGAAAAGACAGCGGTCTCCTACCACAGAAGTTCACTCCACAAAGTTAGGATATCAACACAGATCAATTTAAGAAGCTGACGCAAAAAAGAAGAGTCTCACAAACAACGGGAAGACAAAGAAACGCCCCCAGTCGAAGGGAAGGGAGGAGTCCCCAGGAAGAGAACTAACTGAAATAGAGGCAAGTAAACTATCAGGTATTGAGTTCCAAAGGAATGGTTCTACGGAAGCTCAATGAGCTCAGAGGGAATTACAAAACACTACAGGGGAACTACCAGGGACTTACTACGAACTCTATCAGCATGGAAAAGGACAGAGAAACTACCCATAAGAGACAAGGGGAAATGAAGAATGCAATTTCTGAACTGATGAACACAGTAGAAGGACTCAAAAGCAGGCTAGATGAAGCAGAGGATCAAATCAGGGAGCTGGAGGATAAGGTAGGAAAAGGCTCCCAGAAAGAGCAAGAAAATGAAAGAAGACACCAAAAGAATGAAGAGGCGTTTAGGGAAATGCAGGACAACCTGAAACGTAGTAATATCCGTATCACAGGGATTATAACAGAAGCGGAAGAGGAGGACCAAGGGACAGAGAACCTGTTTGAAAAGGTAATGATGGAAAACTTGCCTAATTTGAAGAGAGAGAAAGTCACACAAGTCCAGGAAGCACACAGGGTCTCATTCAAGAGGAACCCAGTCAGGCCCACTCCAAGACACATCGTCATTAAAATCGCAAATACCAAACAAAGACAAACAGAATCCTAAAGGCAGCAAGGGAGAAAGAGGCAGCAACATATAAGGGATCCCCGGTATGGCTAGCAGCTGACTCCTCAACAGGAACACTACAAGCCAGAACGGAATGGCAAGAAATATTCCAACTCATGAAAAGCAAACGCCCGCAGCCAAGACTGCTCGACCCAGCAAGGCTCTCAATGACAATGCAAGGGGAAATAAACGCTGCTCAGAGAAAAGAAGGCTAAAAGAATACACCTCCACCAAACCAGCATTGCAAAATATGCTAAAGGGACTGCTGTAACAAGATGAGGAAAAAGGGTCCATGAATACCCAGTTCCTTTCAGTCACCAACACTTGACACTACCAATATTTTTAATACTTATTCATGTGATTATGACAATGATGTATTTTAATTCTTACTTTATTATTTGTTGAAACTTAACCTGTTTTTGTATACTTCTTGCCTATTTCTATTATTTTTTAGGAAAGATTTACGTGACTTTTTGGTATTCTTTATCCATTTTTGGATTAAATGTTTGTAGAATATTTTCCCTAAAAAAATAAAAAACAAAACCTCTTAGCCCTTTCTTAGATGTGTTGCAAATATTTTCCTATACTATTACCTGTCTTTTAACTTTTTTTATATATTGCTGTATGGTCTTAAGAGTTTAATATAGGCATACTGTCAGCTATTTTACTTTATAGCTTCTGGGTTTGAATATGTTACATTGGGGTAAGAAAAATATTATTTTGTATTTTCTCCTAAAACTCCTTAGATTTTACATATTGATCTTTAACTCACCTGAATATTTGTTGAATAATGTGTGAAATAGGGCTCTACATTTCCTTTATGTCAAGGAATGGAGATCCGTGCACCGTATATGATGAATAAGCCTTAAATGTCTCAATGATTTGAAATATCAATTTAATGACATCTTACATGTTAGAAAGATATATATGTTTCTGGAATGCTCACTTTATTTCATTGATCTACGTGATTCTTTCTGTGTAGGTGCCATGATTGCTGAGACTTTAGAATGGATTTAATTTTTCATTATTTTATAATGGATCTTCACATTTAAATAAATAAATAAAACCAATCTGCATTTAGAAAAAAAAAAAGAAACATAGAAAGAAAGAAAGAAAGAAAGGAACTCCTACCTTTTGTGATAACATGGATGGAACTGGAGACTATTATGCTAAGTGAAATAAGCTAGTCAGTGAAAGACACATACCATAGGATCTCACCTATAACGGACACTATTCAACAAAATAATGAACAAAATAAACCACAGGCAAGGAAACATGAAGCAGACTGAGAGTGACCAGAGGGGATGGGGAAGGAGGACAACCGGGAAAAGGAGGAGAAGAACCTAAACAAACAACATGTAGAATGACCCATGGCATGGACAGCAGAGTTGGAACTGACTGAGGGAGAGGGGGGCGGGCGGGATGGGTGGAGGATGGCAAAGGGGGGAAAATTGAGACAACTATAATAGAAGAAACAAGATTTACAAATAAAGAAATAAAAAGATTGTTTGTTTTTAGAGAGCGGGGAAGGCAGAGAGAACAGAGGGAGAGAAGCATCACAGTGTGGTTCACTCTCGCACGCCCCAAACTGGGGACCTGGCTGGCAACCCACGCATGCGCCCTGACTGGGAATGGAACCAGAGACCCTTTGGTTCGCAGGCCAGCACTCAGTCCACTGAGACACACCAGCCAGGGCTCTATTATGACATTTCTGAGTAATTCAAAAATGTTCAATCTCAAAAATGTTCACTGTTCAAAGCAAGACCACAAATGGTACCATGGGAAAACGCCCATCAAAAGGAACAGACAGTTGCTTCCATTTGGCAACCATACTGGTCAAATCCCCTGGCACACGATGCCAACAGTATAAGGAAACTCCCAATTCCCACTTTCTAATCTAGAGAGATAGACGGTACAGTGTGTTCAACACTTGCTATTTAACAGTGTATTTGAAATATGTGTTTCTGTTTTGCGTGACACAGACTGCTAAAACTATGTCAATAAGGGGTGCATGCATTGTAGCTCACCTGAAAAGAGGAGTCGAGTAACTGACCAGCCCCACCACAGAAACTGAAACTGCAGGACGGAAGACCGGTATCAAGCATAGAAAAATTACATGGAAAAAGAGTTAAGAGATTTTTCTTTTTTTGTTATAACACCAAAAGAAAAAACAGACAAAGTACATATAGACAAATGGGATTCCACCAAACATGAACACTCCTGCACTTAATGAAGGAAATACACAGGGGGTCAAAATCACAACCTGTGGAATGGAAGAAAATTTGTGCAAAGCATGTACTTTATGTCTTTAATATTCAGAATATATAAAGAAGTGTTACATAACAACATGATAAAACAAGTAACACAACAATTAAAACAGCCAAAGATACATGGCAAATTAATATTAAAAAAAGGCAGGACTACAGAATGGGGTGAGACAGATTCTTCAGTAAATGCTGCGAGAATAACTGAACCAGTACAGAGAATAATATAACCCGACCACATTTTTCGGCCATGTACAAAAATAAACTCAAAATGCATTACAAACTAAAATATAAGACCTGAAGCCATGAAAGCATGACAAGAAAGGATAGTCAATAACCTCTGTCATTGCTCTTAGAATTTTTTTTTAATCTATCTTGGTAGGCATAGCAAACAAGCACAAAAAGTTAAACAAATGAGACTACAACACAATAAGTTTGTGTACAGCAAAGTAAACCATCAAGAAAACAAGCAAAAAGCCTAAACTACTGAATAAGGGCAGATACTCACCAACGATGCTACATATCCAAAAGACATAAGGAAATTACACAACTTAACACCAAAAAAGAGACAATCTGATGAAAGAATGTGCAGAGGCGCTGAATAGCTATTTCTCTGAAGAGGACATAAAGATGGCCAATAGACATAAGAAAAGATGTTCGACCTCATTCACCATCAGGGAAAATGCAAACTGAGACCACAGTGAAACCCCAGCAGACATGTATCAGGATGGCAATTCTCAATAAATCAACAGCCCTGGCTGGTGCGGCTCAGTGGATTGACCAGGGGCTGTGAACCAAAAGGCTGCCGGTTCAAATCTCAGTCAAGGCACATGCCTGGGCTGCGGATCGGGACCCCGGCTAGGGGCATGCAAGAGGCAAGCCGTCGACGTTTGTCTCGCAATTGGATGCTTCTCCACCTCTCTTTCTCCCTCCCTTCCATCCTCCCTACAATAAATAAAATCTTGAAAAAAGATCCTAAACATACATTTCATACGATGAAATAATATTCAGCGCTATAAAGAAGTGATATACCAAGCCATGAAAGAATTACATATGTATCCAAATACATACAATTATGAGGAAAAATTTAATCTGCCCGACAGGGTGCTCCGTTGGTTAGAACATCATCCAGAGACACCAAGGCTGTGTATTCCATCCCTAATCAGGGCATGTACAAGACTGCACCAATGAATGCTTAAATAACCTCGATGTTTCTCTCTACCCTGTCGCGTCTGTCTGTCTGTCTCTAAAATGAGTAAATGAAATGAAAACTACAAAAGTCCAATTTGAAAAGGTTACAGAATTTAAAAGAACAACTACACAACTTTCTACAAAAACCAAAATGAGAGAAACCATAAAAAGACTAATGGCTGCAAGAGCACAGGAGATATGGAGAGAAATGGAGCATAGCAAATACTTAGGGCTGAGAGAGAAGTCTGTGTGACACTATAACGGTGAATATATGCATTGTGGATTTTTCCAAACCCACAGAATATGCAACCCAGGGTTAACCCCACAGTAAACTAAAATTTTGGGTGATGATGATTCACAAATATAACTTCATACATATCACACATCTATCACTCAGGTTGGGGACACTGATGAGGGAGAAGGATTTGTATGTAGAAGCATGGAGAGTACGCCAATTCTCCTTTATCTCTGCACAGTTTTGCAGTGAACCTAAAACTGCTCTTTGGAAAAGTCATTCACAGACCTTCTTCTCTGAAGTACCTGTACTCATGTCTATGCATCTTGCTATGGTTCTTTATGCCCATCCAAGAAACAAAAGTTTGCATCCTTCACTGAAACACACACACACACACACACACACACACAATATGATTTCACAACAATGACAATCACCACATTCATAGAAACCACCACCACCAAGTGTTTCCAGAAATGTGGAGAAACCAGGCACTATACGTGGTTGAATAAAAGGTAAACTGGTACAAACAGTATGAAAAACAAGAAAGGGTTTGCCAAAGAATTAAAACAGAATTCTCCCGTCATTCTGCTCTTCTACGCGGGGTGTTTATCAAAAGGTATTCAAAGGAGGTTCGGCAAGAGACATGTGCACACCTGTGCTCATTGTAGCAATATTCACAAAAGCCTGTACAGGGGGAAATAACCCCAATCGCTACAGACAAATAAAGGGGTTAACAACTTTACCATATACATAAAGTACAGTACTACTCTGCCAGGAAAAAGGGAAAGCTGTTACACCTGATACCACAAAGACAAACAATGAGGACTTTTTTTAAGCAAAGCACACAAGTCTCAAAGAGACAGACGCCACGGGATTCCACTTAGGTGAGTATCTTTCAAAGTCAACCTCACAGGGAAAAAAAGGCAGTCACCTGGGCCTTCGTTTTCAGGGAAATAAATACAGAAGTGGTTGTTTAATAGACACTGAGACATGTCTGCAAGGTGGAAATTTCAAACGATCAGATAGATGTACAACCAAGAGAATATACTTAATATTACTGAACTGTACACTTACACACAGTTCACATGGTAGATTTGTTCCCCCACATGGGACTTTTTTTTAAAAGATTTTATTTATTTATATGACTAGAGAGAGGACCAGGGAGGGAAAAAGAGAGGGAGAGAAACAACAGTGTGTGACGGAAATAATGATCGGCTGCCTCTTTCTTGTACGTGCTCCAACCAAGGGCCGAATTCAAAATCCAGGCATGTATGTGCCCTGACTGGGAACCGAACCAGCAACACTTCAGTTTGCAGGCTGATGCTCAACCAACTGCACCACAGAGGTCAGGGTGGTTTTTTATCAAAATACACAATAAAATATAATACAGAAAAGGCATAATTACAGAACTTCACAAAAATTACATTCAATTTACAAAAGTTCATCTCACATAAACAAAAGATAAATTCAGCTCTGAAGAGACATCAAATTAACACTATTTCCAAAACTCACAGGGCCAATCGACTACTGACCATTAACGGCACACAGAAGGAAACAAGGTTAAGTCCCGAACACTGTAGGGTTAAAAAACACAAAAAACATACACAGAACATTAATGGCAACTGACATATGGCTGATTCGTATCTGAATTAAGTTCCACAATGTCTTAAGTGTACTGAGTGGAGAACTATCAATCACATTCCTATTACGTAAATGAACACCAAAGAGGCAATCGACTAAATTTGGGGAACCAATCATAAGAAAGGAAACATGCTGGAACACCAGTCGCAAATGTGACTGAGTGAGCTGAGGGGTGCTGGAATCCAAGTCTTTTTCTTAAAGAGCCCGCACACAGACTTACTGGGACTCCCTCGCTCTGCATTCCAGCTGTAAGACAGCAGCAGCCTGACAGGCACCAGGGGACGTATTGGGAGGAACTGAATTGTCTGGCTTCAGGGCAAAGGCTGGAGGGGCAGCTTTCTCCCACACAGCAGTCCTGGCAGAGCCAACGATTCCCATGCTGAGCCCTCCCCACAGCAGAACTGGCGGGCAGGTACCATATCTGACCCTGCCATTACGTGCCTAATGTTACAGCCCCACCCTGGTGATTCCCTGAAACCTTGCGCCAGTCGCCTTGACAGCCCGTGCACCCATGTCCAGTGGCTTTTATATACAAATGGCCTCTCTTGCCTCGTGCTTCGGGCTCTCCTTAATCTCCAACACAAACTGCATCTGGCCTCTGCATGCCCGATACCTCTCACTCAGCGGCCGCACGGACGGCAGTAGCTGCAGCTGGCCTTGGATCGCATCTTGGCCGCCAAGTCCAACACACGTAGGAGCCATCTGCACATCGCTCTGTACCTGGTGCCAGGCGGAACTGGGCAGTTCGTAAGTGGTGGCTGACCCTGCCCTTGAAGGAGAAGACCCAGATCCAGCGCACACCTCAGGACCATGTTAGACTACAACCCTACCACTTCTACAAGTGACACACTCACGGGGCACACTCTGGGCACTAAAGCCTCACTCACCTTTTTCCATAACGCGAAATGCCTAATAATTCTGTACCTCACTTAACAAAGGAGTACATTCCAGCATGTTCTATCAGCACTTGTTAATCAAATACCAGAATCTGAGAAAGGTCTAATCAGAAAGGGAACACACATCAAGGCACAGCCCAGGCAGGAATGGACTGTGGGACAGAGAATGATAAAATGATAGCGGTGAGCAGATCAGATTAATAATAAAGACTTTCCTACATGGCGGTCAATGTTCTAAGGGCACCTATGGCACTGACTCATTGAACAACTCTAAAAAGTAAGGAGATACATTAATGTATTTTTAACAGAATTTGGAGAACACAAACTGGAAATTTCGTATGACAGTTCATACAAAGCAAAACGACACCGTCAAGCAAAACAGAAAATCAGATTGTCTCATTTTGGGAAGGCGCATTGTGTCGCGATGAAATCAGAGTCTAAACACTGTAGGGTCTTTTTTGAAGCCTCCACGGGATGAGAAATTATAAACCAGAAAACATGACACCCGTCCCCAGGGTTCCTGGTATTTCTGCAACAAATTCCAGGACCTCAGCCACTTCCTTCATAAACTCCATTCATGAGACAAAAACAAAACTTAGAAAATAACGCTTAACTTACAACTCCTCAGCAACGTGCACAGATCTTCCCAGGTCCCCAAAGCACTGGAAGAGGAGCCAGACCATGGCGGCCCTCACGGTCGAAGGGGAGGACTGTGGCCCCATGTGTAACAGGATGACGGAGGTCACTGGGGTAGAAACAGAGTCCCAAGACGGTGTGGGAGCAAGGGACATGCTGGAGACCAGCTGTCCCTGTATGACAGCAACAGAAACAAACCTGGGCTTTTCAAAATCCTTTCCACGGAAGCACAGTTTCCAAATCACACTTTAACTTCTGGCTATCCCCGTGGCCTTTGGGCCTCTCGCCTGTCTCATCTGCTTCCCCGTTCCCACCTACCTGGGTGGGTGGATTTTGACTTTTTCCTGCAAATGTCCTGGAGTTCCTTCATTTGCTCCACACTGGTGACCAGGACTGGCTTAGGGAAAACACAACCTGTTTATACAACAAACATTAGTTTGGATAAAGATTCTCCCATTTACAATCCAGTCTGTGCTTCTGTAACAAGACTGGCAGAATAATAACCACCTCCAATTTCTCCCTGGAAAGCAAGAATCTGGAAGGCCACCACACAAAGCACAAGTCCCCAAAGACGTTAAACTAGTAAGTAAAAGGAGACTCTGCGGGCGGGGTAGGAACTCTGAAAGGAACTCTTCCTCACCCAGGGAGACCAGGTTCCTGTAGTTCTCCAACATCACATCCAAGTACAGTTTCCGCTGAGCTGGGTTCAGGCACTCCCACTCCTCCTGAGAGAAATCTATTGACACATCCCTGAAGGTAAACGCTCCCTGAAAAAGAAGACACATTTTCCAAGGGGCCACCAAGAGTTAATCACGTAACCCAACTTGAGAACAGTGTTACAAGTGGTTTCAAACCAGGAGAGTATCCTGAATTATCTAGGAAGATCATTTGGACCCAGTGATATTCTCTAATGTAATCTCTAACACGGATGAATGAGACTGTCACGTGTCCACAAATCCACCCCAGAGACCTGACTTTTCAGACAAATAACCTTTAAAAATGAAGGGACAGCCCTGGCTGGTGCGGCTCAGTGGATCGAGTGCCAGCCTGCGAATCAAACTGCTGCTGGTTCGATTCCTGGTGAGGGCACATGGCTGGGTCGTCGGCCACATCTCCAGCTGGGAGCATGGGAGAGGCAACTGATTGATGTTTCTCTCGCATATCGATAATTCTCTCCCTCTCTTTTCCCCTCACTTCCCTTCTCTCTAAAAATAAAGAAAGAAAATCTTTAAAATGAAGGGACAGACACAGCCATATGGACTGATGAGTGTATTTGTATCATTCCGCATCAATTGTGTGTATTTCTCAGCAAGAAAAGGCACGGTGAGTTGGAAGTGTAGGTACTTCAGGTTTACTTCATGCAACAAACTCTAGTTTTCTAAAAATACACATTCTGATTCAGAAGTTCTGGGATGGGGCCCTGCATTTCCACACCTTTAACAAGCTCACTTGTCCCTGGTGAGACCCATGTCTAGTCCACATGCCACACTTCTGAATAGCACAGAAAAAGAAAACACAGAAAGTCATTCACATATGACGTTGAGTTGACGGACTTTTATAACATTCCAATTCTCAAGGAATAAGAAACATATCAGTCACAATATTATTTGAAAATATACTGAAGGTAATCTTAGAACAAGAGTTCTCTTCCTATGTTATAGGAATATTTCCTGAAACATAGAGTAAAACATAGACCTTGAACTGTACTCCAAACTTGATCTAAAGTTTGTCAAAAAAAATAAATGGGCAAATACACATAGAGAGACCTCATGGAAGTTCATCGCATTTTCTGTAACTGAGAAGAACGGAAACGTTTTAAGAGAGTAAGCAGCCTAAATATGTCAACTGTTAACATTTTATGCACACAGACAGATATGCATATGGAAACTAGGTACAAATAAAAAGTGATACAAAACACAATTTTCATGTCAATGAAATTAAGATTATTTTGAGATGCTGTAAATCTCATAAATCTTTTTGTGGTTGTTACCTTAAAAAAAATAAAAAGAGTATGCATGTAATGATAAACACTAAATTAAAGCTAGTGTTTATTAGTCTTTGATCTCCTGTAAAATTTTTGCGTATGAGGGGAGAGTTACATTGTAGAAATATAACAGAATATAACACACATTCACGTGACTCTTGTAAACTTCCTTGAAAATACAGAAAGTTATGTGTATATCCGTATCATGTGTGGGATACGATGAGAATTTACAGGAACAAGGCCTGATTGAATCCTCCATATCGAAAGCCGATGATCTCTAGGAAATAAACGTAGGGGCTTCATTTTCCAAAGCAAACAAAAATGAAGACAGGGTTCTTTCCAGATGAAATGCAATGACTGTTTTCAAATGTCTCAATAATTCCCTGCTAGACCCTTGTTAATGACGAAGGAAACCATTAACTGCATAGTAAAGATACCACCTCAGCCAAATGAATGTCAGGTGCAATGAAACAATGGGTATCAGGTGACTGAAGCACACACAAGGAAATATCATCCCTGCTGTGACATTACTGGGCGGGGGAGGGGGGACCTGACCAGAAATCGGTGTCCTGGCTGGCGGGGCTCAGTGGATTGAGCACCAGCCTGCAAACCCAAAGGTGCCTGGGTCGATTCCCCTTCAGGGCACAGGGCAGGGTTGGTAGCCAGGTCTGTGATTGGAGTGAGAGACAACTGATCGATGTCTTTCTGGCACATGGATGTTCCTCTCCCTCTTTTTCTCCTCCATTCTTCTCTCTCTCAAAATAATTAAATTAAAAAAAAAGAAAAAAACTCTTAAAAGACATTTAGAAAGAAATCATTACCTGAAAGTGTTAACAAAGAAGCATTAATTTTTGCCAATGTCAATGCACGTGCACTTCCTATGTGTTGAACACAAAGACTAGTGCACTTCAACAGCAAGACTTTTGTACCAAATTAGGGAGCAAGTCTCTTTTATCAAATCTTCTTTGTCAGAACTTTCTGAGCTAGCCTGACCAGTAATATGAGCATTTTTTTTTTACCCCTGTCTACAGAGCTGATGCTGCAGCCACATGAACCTAAAACCTACATTTCCCTTCTTCGTTAATACCCGAGCCTGTGACACCCATCCCGACAGGGCTGTTGGATATGGGTGAGTTCTCAGGTAGATCTCTCAGAAAGGGGATGATTTCCGTAGTTGAAAGTTATTAATTAAAGGGAGGAATTCTTCATGGCTTTGGGGAGCCTGGATAAATACAGAAATGAAAAAAAAAAAACTACAAAAAACAAAGGAAAGCAAAGGAGAGAAGAAAGAAATGTAGAGAAAGCTCTGGGACAAAGAGGGCAAGTACAGAAACTGCTCACCTTGACAATCATAAGAAGAAAGGAAAGAATTAAGTAGACAATAAAAACCTCACTAGATAAAAACATCAGAAGCTGAGAAATAAATGTTGCAGGTTCTCAATCCACTGATGTTACGCAGTAAGGCGAACGTAGCTTCTGACACACTACACATCATTTACCTGGGAAGCAGCCATGTCCTCCTGGTCCTGCACTTAAAATGTGGCTTGTTTTCTCAGGCGATGATATGCTGGGGAGTCACGTCTGCATTCTGAGAACGTGCCTTCAAAGGTTTCCGCGCAGCCCGTTTATCTGCTTCTAGTGCACTCACGAGTGGAAGGACCTGAAAATGCTGGAAAGGTCACCCTGCCCTGCCCTTGGTCACAGCAGCCTCAGGTTGGTAAGCTTGTAAATGCAGAGCACCCTGGCAGTCTTTTCTTTCTTCTTTTCAGGTGCTCTTTCCCCCACACAAGTCCACAAATTCATACGGCAACAAGAACATGCACTGCTCTCCTCAATCCCAGACCCACCACAGCACCCCGCTGCCTCCCCCAGGGAAAGCCTGCTCCCAGGTCTTAAAAAGGCATGACACAGCCCTGGCCGCTGTGGCTCAGTGGAATAAGCGATGGCTTTGAACCGAAGAGTCACCAGTTAGAATCCCAGTCTGGGCACATGCCTGGGTTGCAGGCCAGGTCCCCAGCAGGGGGCACATGGTAAGCAACCACACATCGACATTTCTCTTTCTCCCTCCCTTCCCCTCTGTCCAAAAATAAATAAATAAAATCTTAAAAAATAAACGCATGACACCATATCTTTTCTTCCCCCTTCTACCTACAGATAACTTTTGTCCTTCCTTTCTACTAAGTTCCAAGGGCCCTCCTTCTTTTGTTTTTCTTTTAAAGAGTCTATTTCTTTATTCTCATAGTCACTAATCCAACAAATCACATAAAGGGAAGGAAAAAGCTGCTAAATATCAGTCGAAAGGTGAAGCTATGTTCTGACTGCAGTAAGTTCATAGGCATCTTTACGAAGTGCACAGTGAAACAGCCTGATATTATTTACCAGGGACCCATGGATGTTCCAACATATGGTAAATAGTAGAAAGGATGCAGGGCTCCGAATTTAAGTTAGACACAGTATGTTCAAAGGAACACTATCTGTCATTATTTTATTTTTATTTATTTACATACAGAGAGACGGGAAGGGAGGGAGGGAAGAAGAGAAACAACCAGCAAGAGATTCTGATGCCTCTCACACGCCCCCAAGCAGGGACCTGTTCAGCAGCCGGGCACGTGTCTTTCCTGGGAATAGAACCCTCGACCCCTCAGTTTGCAGCCAGGCACTCAATCTGCTGAGCCACACTAGCCAGAACTGGATTTATTTTTTAATTTAATGACTTCGAAGATCAAAGTTTTGCTCTGATGGTGCGGCTCAGTGGATTTAGCATCCTGCAAACTGAGAGGTCACTGGTTAAATTTCTGGTCAGGGCATGTGCCAGGGTGCAGTCCGCATCCTCACTTGGGGGCTTGCAAGAGGCAAATGATTGATGTTGCTCGCACACATTGATGTTTCTCTCCCTCTCCCTCCCTTTCCCTCTCTGGAAAAGAAAAATAAATGAAATCTTTCAAAAGAGAGAGATTTCACCAATTCTCACTTTAAAAGTTAACTATTAACAGAAAAAAGATTCACCAGACTAAGATTTATCTCAATGTTTTTAAAAATAAATTCAATGTAAGAGGCAGAAAGAAAAAATACAATGGAGAAAGGAAGAAAAGAAAAGAACCAATGGTTTAATATTCCTGGGGAAAGAATCATGTGGTAACAGACTCCCAGGTCACCTCCCTCTTGCCATCCCAGGACAGAAGAAGGGACCCATGACTGGCACGCACATCTCTGACCTCTAAGGGAATAAAGGGCTGCAGTCAGAAGCGTTCACTATAAAACGCACAAGCTTTACAAAATGGACATTTGTAATTCTAATTCAAATGTATTTGAGTGAAACAATTCAACAAATGTTAGACAGTGATGGATGATAAAACCATAAGCTGATACCGCACAACTTAATCATCCACATTCAGGTTCCCTCTCTCTTCCTGCTGCCCTGTTAT